TAGTTATTAGTGTTATTAGTTACTGTTATTAAGTACAGTGGTGATTACTGTGTGTCTTTATGAGTTATTAGTGTTATTAGTTACTGTTATTAAGTACAGTGGTGATTAATGTGTCTTTATTAGTTATTAGTGTTATTAGTTACTGTTATTAAGTACAGTGATCATGTGAACACACACTAACTTATCTAAAGTCTCTCCAGCTGTTAAAGCCGACTGACAGCTGATCAGCTGTGATCAGCTGATCCTCCGTCATCAGAAACAGACGTCGCTTCACGTGACGCAACTGAGGAAAGGACGTCTCATGTCTCTTAAAACATATTTCCTCGTTTCCTCTCTCCTTGCCTGGTTTCCTCCATGCATCCCTGGTGGGAGGGACTAGGACGCAAGGAAAGGACCCAAGTGAGGGAAACGGGGATGACATTAAGAGACTTGGGATGTACCCAAAGAGAGCTGGTCGTCGCCCAACAAAGAATACACGCACAGGTGACGCGTGTGTGTGTGTGTGTGTGTGTGTGTGTGTGTGTGTGTGTGTGTGTGTGTGTGTGTGATCGATCTGTCATTCTGTGTTATTCAATAGGTTCCATCAAAAGTGTAGAAACACAAAAGTACACAGTAAAAGTACTAATACCACAGTGTAAGAATACTCTGTTAGAGCAAATACTCTTATAATAAAACATTACCGACTGAAGTAAGAAGCTTCAGATTTTATCAATAGAGTTGATTTATTTTCAACCGATCAATCAAAAGCTTTGAATCTTAACAGCTGTTAGAAGTACTCAGGTTATTTACTGGAGTAAAAGTATCAATACATCAATGTAAAAATACTACTATTAAAAGTACAGAAGTATTTATATAATTTCATTTGTCTGATATGAATAATCAGATATATTGATTATTTAAAGGTGATTGTTTATCAGTTTGATTGTAAAGTGAATTAAACTTTATTGGTACTGACTGATAAACACAGAATGTAATTAAATGTGAACGAGGTTAACGAAGTAAAATAAAGTCAGTAGTTTAAAGAAAATAAGAAAAGATCAGACATGGAATCATATTTTTAGAGAGATTTATTAAATAAAACGTAAATTTTATCGATTCTGCACGGAACTATGTTCCATAGTTCCGTGCAGAATGTTGTTTTAGACGTCAGCTTAACGCATGAATGAATCACCTGATCACCCAACAGCCAATCAGAGCTCTGCCAGCTCCACACCTGAAATGACATCATCACCGTCTGGAGACTTACACAGTTATACTTTATTATTTTATATTGTACTGACCTTCATGTTTGTATCTTGTTGACAAACAATGGAATGAACCAATGTCAGGCTTATACAGTATATATAAATATAAGTGCTGGGCAACGATTAAAATATTTAATCGCGATTAATCGCATTGTTATCGATGGCCGAAGAGCAAAACCTCCTCTCTGAAAAATGCCTGGATCATTTTGCAGATAGGATATTTTGCACTTTGTGCAAGTTGGAAGAGGTTCTACAAAATGATGCTCTAAATTAAGTTTCAACAAAGGGCGGGATTATTTGAAGACTGAATATGAACAGCCTTCCTTGTTCTCATCATCCAATGTCAAATCCGGCAATCAGAAAATTCTGCAGATAGGAGGTTTTGCGCTTTGGCCCTCGTTATGGCAAAATTCAACAATGAATTCAAAAGTAGTGTATCGTGCACTTTTATCTTGAAAGTACTGCTATATGAACAAAAGGTCAATAACATTTGGTTTGCAAACACTTTAAACAAATAAGGTTCTTTTTAACAGCAGTATTCCCTTTACACAGTAGCAGTTATAACACAGTTATAATGATTCTGATCATAGATATTCAGCCGGTGTTCATAACTTTATCTTCATGTGTGTAAGAGATGATATTTAAATATACACCTTGAAAACTGCAAACCTGTCTACGTCATGTTTTTATGTTTGTTAAATTCTCAGTCTTCTGTTCAACATCTACATGCTTCCACTAGCTCAGATTATGGAAAACAACAAAGTGTGTTATCATAATTATGCAGACGACACACAAATCTACATAACTACAGTATGTCACCAGGGGACTATAATCCCATACAAGGGCTGGGTAACTGCATTGAACAAATCAACAACATCTTCAATTAAACAAAGATAAAACAGAAGTGATTGTTTTTGGTACCAAGGACGAACGATTGAAAGTCATCGCTCAGCTTCAATCACTGATGTTAAAACCCACAAACAGCCAGAAATCTGGGTGTAGTTATGGATTCAGACCTCAACCTGAACAGCCTCATCAAGATTATTACATAATCAGCCTACTATCACCTGAAGCATATATCAAGGATTAGAGGACTTATGTCTCAACAGGATGTGTAAAAACTTGTCCGTGTATTTATCTTCAGCAGACTGGACTACTGTAACGGTGTGTTTACAGGTCTCTCTAAAAAGTCAGTCGGAAAGCTGCAGCTGATTCAGAACGCTGCAGCTCGAGTCCTCACTAAGACCAGGAGGGTGGATCACATCACTCCAGTTCTGAGGTCTTTGCACTGGCTTCCTGTCAAACAAAGAATTGACTTTAAAATCCTGCTGTTGGTTTATAAAGCACTGAATGGTTTAGGACCAAAATACATCTCTGATCTGCTGCTACCTCATGAACCATCCCGACCCCTTAGGTCGTCTGGGACCGATCTACTTCCTGTTCCCAGAGTCAGAACTAAACATGGAGAAGCAGCGTTCAGTTGTCCTGCTCCACATATCTGGAACAAAGTCCAGAAAGCTGCAGGTCTGCTGAGACCCTCAGCTCCTTTAAATCAAGACTGTTTGCTGCTGCCTTTAATTGAACCACATTCAAGGATATGAATCCATTTCCTGCATTTCTGCATTTTACTACTGTATCTAATTTCTTACACTGCTTTTTAGTGTTTTAATGACTGTTTTGAATGTTTCAATAAATGTTTTTAATTGTTTTTAAATCTCCTTTTCTTTTGCCTTATGTTTTGATGCTTTTAATGGTTTTATGTGAAGCACTTTGAATTACCTTGTTGTTGAAATGTGCTGTACAAATTGCCTTGCTTTGCTTTGCAACCAACCAGACTCCTTCCTCCATATTTTACCCTAACAACCCTCAAACATGCAGAAGTATAATGTAAGATGTTATAAAGACGCTATCTGATAAAACTCTAACATTTAAAGTTCACTTTCTCTTTGACACAAATTGTGACTGATAACAGCTGCAGACTGAAAAACCAACCTCATATTCTACTTTCTTTTTTTTTTATCAGGGAGGTTTCCAGCTGCCGACGCCCCCCTTGCCCCTCGAGTCTCTGGGTCTGAGAGCGATCCTGTACTCGTACTGGGCCACGTGGTCCTCTTGGAGACACTACCAACCTCTGGACCACATCAGGGAATACTTTGGAGAGAAGATAGCGCTGTACTTTGCCTGGCTCGGTAACTGGAGCGACTGCAATATTAACTTACCACCGCTAACTATCTTTCCACTTAATAACTGTGTCTGACTGCAGGTTTCTACATCGGCTGGCTGTTGCCAGCGTCCCTCGTTGGGACCGTAGTCTTCTTGTTTGGGTTCTGGCTCATGGCCACTGACATTCCAGCATAAGTTTGAACTCAAAGTCAAATAGTTTGTTATAAAAGGCCAAAAATAGAGCAGGACACAACTAGCTTATCATTTGGTCATCAGTATCCCACAATGCATTTCACATCAGTGACTTGTTTGGTGATACTTTTAGAGGATTATCACCTTAAGGAGTCATCTTAAACTTTGTTATTTTCTGTCAACACTTTCCCTACTGAACTAATCGTCTAATAATGTATTTTTATTTGCTAATATGCCGACGACACTCAACTTTATCTACACATAGTTTAAAAATCATCTGCATTTCATTAGGAGATAACTGTTAACTGTGTGTGTGTGTGTGTGTGTGTGTGTGTGTGTGTGTGTGTGTGTGTGTGTGTGTGTGTGTGTTTTCAGGCTGGGAGGGTAGCCAGTATTTCAGGATCTGTGTTGAACCTGTTGGTCATCCTCATGTTGTCGAAGGTTTACACCTCACTGGCTCACCAACTCACCCACTGGGGTGAGTCACACTTTCCTCACCCTCCTCTTCCTCAGTTTTTAGTCTTCGACTTTTGACAAAAACAAATTTCACTCACATTTTAGTTTTGATGAATTAAAAAACTATGGACATGTTCGTGTAAATTCAGCCTGTTTTTTGCATTTGTTTATTTTGTTATGTTTTAGTATGATTGGTGTACATGTACGCAGTGTAGTATTATTGGTGTACATGTACACAGTCAGCTGATGTTGTGTTATTGTTTTTAGAGATGCATCGGACTCAGTCTAACTATGAAGACATGGTCATCAAAGTTTTCGTCTTCCAGTTTGTGAACTTCTACTGATGAGGAGAAGCGCGCCAAACTTTTGGATAAACCTGATTATTATTATGATTATTATGATGAAGCCCGATGGATAATATACAGTGTGCTTTGGCACAGGCAGTTTTACTGCCTTGTGCCACAAAGCCACACTGAATAATAATAATATTCTTCCGGGCGAAAGTACAACAGTTTGCTGCGCTTCTCCTCACACAGCGTTGCCGACACCGGCGCAAAAAATACATCAAAACGTGCAGCCTGATCGGGAATAGTGTGCTATCTATTTTCCAGAGCGATTCGCCCAGTGGTTTTCCTGAAAATCAAGAAAAACGGAGCAAAATTTCTCCATTCACTTCAATGGGGTTTCAGCGTGAAGAGAGCTAAAAAACACTTCACTTTGGGCCCATATTGACTAGCCGTACATTAACGTAGAAATATGATTCAAAGTTTAAAACGTAGACAAAACGCTGCACTTTATTGAGCCAAAGGGACATTTTGATAGCTAGCACAGTTTTCATGAAGTCACAGATTAAGTTTCAGCACTCAGACTCTTGCTTTTTGTTAAAAGAAGTTAGGGGTTTTGTTCAAAATCACTGTTTACTGCAACGTTTCTTAATCAGTCTGCCTCTAACACCAGGTGCGTCCTCACCATGGCAACCAGTTACACAAGCACGCAGGCTCTCTCTCTCTCTCTCTCTCTCTCTCTCTCTCTCTCTCTCTGTCTCTCTCTCTCTCTCTACACTCACGCTCTCTATTTCTCTCACTCTCTCTCTGTCTCTCTCTGTCTCTCTCTCACTCTCTCTCTCTGTCTCTCTCTCTCTCTGTCTCTCTCTCACTCTCTCTCTCTGTCTCTCTCTCTCTCTCTCTCTCTGTCTCTCACTCTCGCTCTCTCTCTGTCTCTCTCTCTCTCTCTCTCTCTCTCTCGCTCTCTCTCTCTCTGTCTCTCTCTCTCTCTCTCTCTCTCTATCTCTCTCTGAGTGGAAGGAGTGCAGAGCTGACGGAGCGTGTTCATTTTTTCGTCACTAGTTAACGTTGGATGTGATAGTGTATCTCACGGTGTTTGTGTGAACATTTAGCTGGTTTTGGGGTCTTTGTGAGTGGTTGCAGCCAGGCAGCACGTGCTGTCGGCTGCTAAACGCCACCACGGACATGACCGAATTAACAAGGAAACACAGCATAAAGATCCCGCCGACTTTCCCGGTGTCAGTGGAGGAATGCAGCCTGGCTGTGGGTGAACTTGTTGGCCACAGCAGCGTGAAGTCCGCTGCGCGAATGAACAATGTCGTGGTCATCTTTCTAGACACCATCAGTAATGCGGAAGTGGTGATTGACAACGGGATCGAGGTGGGCGATAACTTCTTCCCCGTTTACCCTCTCTGCACACCGGCTGTGACGGTAACAGTGTCCAACGTCCCACCGTTCATCAGAGATGAAGACATAACAAGAGAACTATCAAGACACGGGAGTATAGTGTCTAAGGTGAAGAAGGTGTCCTCTGGGTGCAAGTCTCCTCTCCTGAAGCACATGATGTCTCACAGGAGACAGCTGCTCATGATCCCAAACAACAGGAGCAAGGGGCTCAACCTAGTGTTCAAGATCAGGGTCGATGACTTCGACTACCTCATTTATGCAACAACTGATGACTTTAAATGTTTCAGTTGTGGAAATGTGGGTCATCAGAGTAGAACGTGTCCTGAGAAAAACAGCTCTCATAAGGACCAGAACCAGAACCAGACAGGTACTGAGGAGGGCAGAGGGGACAAGCAAGACGGACATGACGGGCCAGATGGGGTCCAAAAGACGAGGGAGGAGGGGACAAGTGGGTTACAGGAGGTGAGGGAGGAGGGGACAATTGAGACCCAGGAGGTGAGGGAGGAGGGGACAAGTGGGGTACAGGAGGTGAGAAAAGAGAGGGAAAGTCCAAGAGGTGATAAAGGACGGGGCAAGTGAGGTCCAGAAGGTGAGGGAGAGTACTGGAGGACAGGTGGAGTCAGGTAGGGAGGTGGACATGGAAGCAGACGAGGAGCAGCTCAAAGCCCCTCAGCTGAAGAGGAAACAGACGAAGCTCACAGACGAAGAAAGTGGAGGAGCAGCAGAGTGTGAGTCCAGTCTGGAGGTAGACTCTGAGTCAAGTCGGGAGCAGGACTCTGCTGCTGACAGTGAGCCCTCTAAACACGGTGCTGGCAGCTGTAGGAGCTCTGGAGGCTACAGCGTGGAGAAAATAAAGCAGTTTCTGAAGAGTAAGAATGTGAGAGGAGCCAAAGTGGAGGACTACCTCTCTGACAAAGAGAAGCTCTCCAGCTCGGCCAGATCGCACATGAGCAGTAAAGACAGAGGAGGTCTCACGAAGCAGGAAGGCTTCAGACTGAAGAAAATTGTTCAGACAATAAGGAAAGAGATGAACAATGATGGAGCCAAGTAAAGAGACCAGAGCCCACGTGCTCACTACACCGGCTGTTTCATGAACCGCTGGTGAACGGAGCCAGGATGGGCATCCAGGACGGCACGACTCCAGGTCTCAGCAGCATGCTGTACCCCTCTGAGGACTCCAGGTCTCAGCAGCATGCTGTACCCCTCTGAGGACTCCAGGTCTCAGCAGCATGCTGTGACCCTCTGAGGATTCCAACCGGCAGAGCAGGAGCATCCTGAGCTCCTGGCTCTGCAGATCAATTTCCAGATCTAGGATTAATTCCAGAGCTGAATGAACTCCACGCTCCTTGAAAATATCATGAAAAGAAACTATTTTGATTGTTTTTTGTTTTGTTTTGAAGAGTTGCTTCTAATCCAGTTCCACGGCCACGGTTTTGTTTGTTCATATTGTTTTAAGTAAAATAAAGGTTTTCTAAAATTCAAAAAAAAATCTCTGTCTCTCTCTCTACACACGCACGCACGCTCTCTCTTTCTCTCACTCTGTCTCTCTCTCTCTCTGTCTCTGTCTCTCTCTCTCTATATATATATACACACACACACACACACACACACACACACACACAAATGACTTGGAGATATTCAGTCAAAGGCATTGTTAGACCTCCTGTCTCTCTCTCTCTGTCTGTCTCTCAATGTGTGTGTCAAACATGATTCCTTTTCCTCTCCCCCTCTCACCCACCCAGCCCCATCCTTTCAAATTAAAAGCCCCACAGAGTGAATTCTAACTGGAATGCTTGGGATACATTGATAATACATTTTAAAAAACATTCTTTCAGTCATTCATTGATTAATTTCCTGTTGCAATGGTAATTAAACAAGGCAATACAAACATTGTATTCTCTACACGTCTCTCACAGTGAAACACACAGAGCATGTGGTGTACATTGAAAATACATGCTTAGTTACTACCGGTAACATCGGCGTGTATATATATATTGCAATGTCTTTGTGCAGTAGCAGCCACAGTGTCAAAATTTCTTGCGCAATTTTCTAGTGTTGCTGATACTGCTGATGTTGCTAATGCTGCTGATGTTGCTGATGGTGCTAATGTTGCTGGTGTTGATGACGTTGCCGTTGCCCTGCAGGTATCGGGGTTTCCGGGATGCAAGCGGTGATTACCTCCCAGAATACTTCCATCTTCTCGCCATCCGACTGACGTTTGTCATCGTGTTTGAGGTCCGTGAGATCAGGAGAACCATCCAGAGTCAGCCGAACGTTCTCCAGAAAACATTGTTCTACAAGGAATACAATATAAAAACCTCCTCCTCTCTCTCCTCTTCAGCATGTAGTCTTCTCCATCGGCCGTCTGATCGACCTGATGGTCCCTGACGTCCCCAAGGAGGTGGAGCTGAAAATAAAGAAGGAGCACTACATGGCCAAACAGGCTCTGGCTGAGAACCAGGTCCGAGAACTCTGATCCACGTGATCAGAAGAACCTCATCTGTGGTTTAGTGAAACTCGAGTTTATCCTGACTTAAGTTAGACTTCACTGTGTTTCTGGTTCTGATTTGTTTTGTGCTTCCAGTCTTTGGGGAAAACCATGATTCCTGGAGAGAAGGAGGTCCTGTATAGCTGTCCTGTATCCAGACCCTCAGAACCACCGCAAAGAGACTCCCCTCCACCAGACCTGAAAGAGAATCCGGAAGAAACCAACACACCAGGCAGCTGCTAAAAATACGTCAACATCATCTAAACCCAGCTTCTCCTTCTGATCAACCTCTCTGACACGGATCTACAACAGCCCTCTGAGACCTCCACAAGATCTAAAAGAACCCTTACAGGTCCAGGTCTGCAAGACTCCTTCTAGATATCTGGACGAACTACCAGACCTGCTACACCTCTGTTGGACCTTTTTAAGATCTATGATCATCTAAGAGTTGTGGACCTGGACACAATCCTGCTGCATGTTAAAATACAGACTATAAATCAGACTATAAAGTATCACCTATTCTGTGATTACAAAATTCACATGAAAGACAGATTCAACAGAAATCCTTCACCACCAGAGTGATTGATTTTATTATGTACTAGTATAAACAGCTCATGTTGAGGAAACATATCTTAAATCATCTACAATATCTATAAATCGATCATTATCTCTTTTGTTTCTTCTCGTTAACACGACCTCCAGGATTGTTATTAATTTATTAATAATCTTAAATAATGGGTGTAAGAGCAGTGATTGAAACTATTTGTTGCATTTTACTTTATGTTAACAGTAATTATTATTATTAGAATTTTTAGATTAGTTTAAATCAATCCTCGTAGTTTCTTTTGTCTACATTGTTGTTTATTCATCATGGACTGTTATTGTTTACACACATTAAATATTTTTCTGTATCCACTTTTGTATAAAACTTTTCTTCTTCTTAAGTTTTTACTACAAACCAATGTTAAAGGTGAATGCCACCACCTACTGGAGTCTACCGGCATGTGTAGCATCATGACTTTATAAAGACGTAATATTCTCGATATTGTTTCATTTCAATATGTCAATAAAACCATTTGAACCTGTAATTGTTTGTCTTCTGTCTCTTTGATTGACCTTTGATTCTCTGTTCCCTCTTCCTGTCCTTTCAACTCTGAACTTCTTCTCACGTTTATCTGACCCGGTCTGTTTGATGATCTACAGAGTCCTCTATGTCCCATCTTAACCCAGAAAATATGACATTAAGCTCTATTTCTTCTATTACTACTCAACAATAACATTTCCTTTTACAAGCAACACTTGAAATGATGCAAATGACAAGGTGGTACAGAATGTAAACCATATTTTGGTGTTTAATTTGAACCTTTTTACTTAAGATTTCGTCAAACATTTCATTTTTTTTCCATTTTTACAAAATGTACCAAAACACCGGCAACGAGGAAGATCTCAGGTAGATAATAATGACAATAAATATGAAACAAAATGAAAATCATACCCTCTAAAATAAAAAAATCCGGTTTGAATTTACGTCAAACACTTTTACTGAGCTTGTTTCCTTACTGACAGAATGTTCCTGCCAAGACGTCATTAATCTTTGTTAAATTAGTGATTTTACTTCTGATCTCGCGAAGAAATATTCTAAAAATATCATTATTTTTAGTTTTAGAAAGTGTATCTAAAACTTAATATCCATATTTTCTAGTTGCTGTATATTCAACAGAAAAAAAAATATTCTCAAACAGTTTGACCTAATTTTATACAGAATCTGAATAGTACACTTTAACTGGTTTAACTTCTTTTACCTCTATGTGGTGTCATTCTGATGTATAAAACCTATTTTTAAATTCAGAGAACCATTATTAAAACTGATGAGTCGCTGTTCCCGGTCTGGCGCTCTCTCCGGACACCTAAACCCGCTCTGTGTGACGTGAAGGACCTCCTCCTCCGACACACAGCAGCAGCAATGGCGGACTTCGACAACTACGACGAGCGGGACCGGGCCTACTGCAGCTTCGGCGGCGGCAGAGGGTGAGTTTCACGGAAAGCTCCGTATTGTGGCCTCGAAACCACAAAACCACAAACCTTAACCCGGATTATCGCCGTGTTTCCCCGCAGCCGTCCTGCGTTAAAGGGCTACGGAGCTCGCCCTGCCCGGAGCTTTGCTAAGCGGCCCCACACGAGTGTGAGGAGGCCCCGGGGGCGGCTGCTAGGAAACACCGCGGTCTGTCTGCGGAGCTCCACAAGCTAACTGTTAGCTAGGAGATGCTAGCGGACCAAACATGACACATGTGGTGGGGATCTAACGTGGGGTTCTGTGATCAGAATATCGGGGTTTGTGGAACAATTTGAGGCCGGGTGGAGCCGGACAGGAGGCCGCAGCAGGTGGAGGTGGTGGCGGGGCTGCGGCTGCATGTCGCCCGCATGGCTGCATCATGTGTCAGCAGCAGCAGATCCATCCGCGTTGTTAACCAGCATGAGGATAAGATACAAACAGTAGAAACAGTGTAAACATTAGTATCAGTAGACTCGGTAGAAACATTAGAAACAGTGTAATCAGTAGTGTCAGTAGAAACAGTGTGATTAGTAGAATCAGTAGAAACAGTGTGATTAGTAGAATCAGTAGAAACATTAGTATCAGTAGAGTCAGTGGACACAGTAGAATCAGTAAAAACAGTAGAAACATTAGAATCGGTAGACAGCAGAAACAATAGAGTAAATGGAAACAGTAGAAACAGTGTAATTATTAGAATCAGTAGTCAGTAGAAACATTAGAGTCAGTAGAAACATTAGAGTCGGTAGAAACAATAGAGTCAGTATAATCAGTAGTCAGTAGAAACGGTGTCAGTGGAAACAGTGTAATTATAAGAGTCAGTAGAAACATTAGTATCAGTAGAGTCAGTAGAAACATTAGTATCGGTAGAGTCAGTAGAAACATTAGTATCGGTAGAGTCAGTAGAAACATCAGTATCGGTAGAGTCAGTAGAAACATTAGTATCGGTAGAGTCAGTAGAAACATTAGTATCGGTAGAGTCAGTAGAAACATTAGTATCGGTAGAGTCAGTAGAAACATCAGTATCGGTAGAGTCAGTAG